CGCTGCCAATCGTAGCGCCGAGGCGACCTCGGGTGGGCGGGCCCAGAGGGCGGTGAGCGGGCTCTCCGGTCACGTGGGTGGCGAAGGTGCCGCTGAAGTTCCCCTGGGAGCCGCCATTTTCCAGTGTTGGGCGGCCTGGGCCCTTTTCCTCGCCCAGGTCTCCTTAAAGGGCCAGTCACCAGGCAGTGGCCACTTGCCTACAGGCACCGCAGACTGTCCGCTTCGAGCCCCATGTCCGTGCATTGGTTGGGGTCACCCTGGGTGGTGGGATCAGCGATTGCACCGCATGCCACAGGTGACGCTGTGGGGGCCATCGAAACCAGCCCGGCCCTCAAAACCCTTTCCAGATGGGCCGCCCTCCAACCCTATGGCCTGGCACTGCATGATGTGAAACTGAAATTGGTCCCCTCGCGGATGGCAGTGGTTGGCCCATCTCATTGCACAGGTGTGCCCTATTTGCCAGCACTATTGGGGGTCATCTGAGTGAGTGACCGAAGGGTAAAGCCTGCGTGTAACTCCTGCCACTCAACAACCAGCCCTACCACCGCCATAGTGAGCAGCGTGACACAGTGGGAAATTTTTTGTAAATTTTTATTAATCCTCATTTTTACGCTCAGATAAATTGGTTAGTCTCTAAGGTGCCACACGTACTCGTTTTCTTTTTGCGAATACAGACTAACGCAGCTACTACTCTGAAACCCACGAATCCTATGTATACCTCAGTTTCCCCTTTTCTTTGCGTGGCTACCCAGTTGGGGGGAAAGGACTGTGTTTGCTCTCAGAGAGCTTACAGTGGCACAGCTGCACCAATGACACTCTTAGCCAACGGGAGAGAGCTCTCCCATCAACTTAATCCACCCCCAGTGAGCGGCAGTAGCTATGTTGGTTGGAGAAGCTCTTCTGCTGACATAGCCCTGTCTACACCGGCGCTTATGTCAGTGTAACTTATGTTGGTTGGGGGGTGGCTTCACACCCAGGAGCGATATAAATTATACCGACAGAAGTGGTCGTGTAGAAATAGCCTAAGACATAGCTGTGTCTGTGTCACTTGTGTGGACTAGATGAGTGTCATTAAAAAGGACTGGCAGAGAATGGAATGGAACCAATGGAAAGCCACTAACCAGGACACTGACACCTAGCAACCAATGACCCAGAGACAGGAGGATTTCCCTGCCTCAGCAGAGAAGCTGAGCAGAGACCCAAGCTGGAGAACAAAGGACTGGGAGGTGTGAGGTGGGGACATAAGAGATGGTTCCTGGAAGAAGCTTGGGGCTTTGTTACCTGGGAGCTGAGGAAGGAAGTCAGAGACAGAGAGTCTGAAAATGGGGTTCACTACTGCTTAGCTGGTGCTCTGGGCTGACCATAATGGACTATGCTTTAACCTTAATTTCTGTATGCTAACCTAAGGACTTCCTACTCCGTGTTCCAGCTGACTAATAAACCTCCTGTATTGAAAATGCAATGTTAGTGTCAGTGTAACTACTTGGTAAAGTGCACTAGTCCCTGAAGAGTGTACAAGTCTCTATCAGGACCCTGTTTCAGTTGGATATTAGGAAAAACTTTTTCACTAAGAGCGTGGTGAAACACTGGAATGCGTTACCTAGGGAGGTGGTAGAATCTCCTTCCTTAGAGGTTTTTAACGTCAGGCTTGACAAAGCCCTGGCTGGGATGATTTAACTGGGAATTGGTCCTGCTTCGAGCAGGGGGTTGGACTAGATGACCTTCTGGGGTCCCTTCCAACCCTTATATTCTATGATTCTATGATTCTATGGACTTGCTGAACAGAGCTCAGTATGAAGCAGAAGTGATGAAGCCCCAGAAGTTTAGTCTCAGGAGATGGTAAGGATGCATGGCCTACCCTGGGAGTCAAGTGAGACTCCTTGGGGTCTGGCAGATCAAAGGGATTCCTCCAAGACGCTGTTCCAAAATTGGGAGTGTAGCACTGATCCTGTGGATCCATGATAAGGAGTAATATTATATCATGTACTGGCTAAGGTGCACTAAGGAGGAATATGCAATGAACAACCACCCATCTATAATACAGGCAGATGGTCCCAGTATGGAATGCTGCATGTTGGTCCAAGCAGTTTTAAATAGTGCAGCACTACACCACAGAGACTAGAGGCCCCACCATGGAGTGCTCCAAGATGTTCTTTAATGAGGTGCTTCATCAGACATTTGCAGACATCTCCATGCTGCATCTAGGAGAGAGCAGAAAAACTGTTAGCTGCTCCACTTTATGCAAATTTAATTGCCCATAAACCTCTGTTTTTATAAAGTTTGTGTGTCCCTACATACTACATCTAAGGGAAGTAAATATACCTAGGAATAAAAGTTTTTGTCTACAAGTCACTGCAATCTATTATCAGATAATAGTATGGAACACCCTAAAATCCAGACAATTACGGAATTTGAGAAACAAGGTTCAAATTCAGCCTTTAATCTGCTTCCTAGATAGTTTGTTACCACCCTTCCTCACTGAAGAGTTAAAACATTACAGACAAAATTAAGGTTTTTTTGATTATGTGCCCTGTATGTTTGGATGTTTCCTGTCTCCTGATTATTTTCTTAGTTCTCTCCATGGCAGCAAGACATAAATGGACTATATCCAACCCTAGTCAATACTTTCCCCTTTCCATATATACCACTCAGATGCAACAGAAATGGACATTATAGAAAACACTACATTGGATAGACACAGACTGTACTCTGTCCTTAATCCCAATTTTAAAAAGCAGACTAGCTGCTACTAAATGCATGTGGTCTAGAGGTGTACACACTAGACTAGGACTCAGGAAATGCAGGCTCTATTTCTGACTCTACTAGGAGACTTTAGATAAGTCACTTGCACATCTCTGAGCCTCCATTTCCTCATTTTTAAAGTGGAGATAATGATACTGACCTCTTTTAAAATCTCCTGATAAAAAAAAACTATGAGAGCTTTTTATTTAGTCCTTCCAAAAAGTCCTTCCCTTCTACTGAAAGTAAAAAGGTATACCCTTATTTATTTATAGATTTCCTCTCTTACATTTTCATTCAGAACATTATTAGCCCTGCTTTGTCAACCCCAAACATTGAAAAATAATTAATTTGGCCCATAAAAATGGAGAGATTGTTTTAAAAATCATGAGGGTTTTTTAAAATATTAAATGTTCGGTACTTTTTCTTGCCTTTTGACTCTTTAGGGATCCCTTGCTTCACATTTTCAAGATTTTCTCTGCAACCACAAGGGCTAGAAATTTACTTTAAAAAATTAAAGTTGAAATTACACCTCTACCCCGATATAACCCGGTCCTCGGGAGCCAAAAAATCTTTCTGCGTTATAGGTGAAACTGCGTTATATTGAACTTGCTTTGGCCTCAAACATTTCTGTTATTAATAGTCACTTCCCAACCCCTGACTGACCCCTCAGAACCGCCAACGCACCCAACTTCCCCTGCTCCCTGTCCCCTGACTGCCCCGCTCCCTATCCACACCCCTCTCCCCTGACAGGCCCCCCAGGACTCCTATGCCCTATCCAACGCCCCTGTTCCCCATTCCCTGACTGCCCCACCCCCAGAACTCCAAACCATCCAACCCCCCCGCTCCTTGTCCCCGACCGGCCCCCGAGACCCTCTGCCCCTTATCCAACCCCTAGGCCCCGGCCCGGCACCTGAACACACCGCTCAGAGCAGCATGTCAGGGCAGACATGCTGATGCGCTGATCCGCTGGAGTGCGCAGCCCCGCCCCCCAGAGCGCTGCTTTATTGCATTATATCCGAATTCGTGTTATATCAGGTCACGTTATATCGGGTAGAGGTGTATTATGCAATATCATGATTCCAGAACCTGGGCCTTTAAGAAGACGCTACACATTGTGAGACCCTCATGATAAAATCACAAGAGCTGACAATTTTGAACCAGCACAATTTCCATCAGCTGTTGAGGATGCTAATTGGATTTAGCTGCAGATAGCTCCTTCCACATGCAAGCAATTTAAGGAAAGAGCAAGGCTGGTCATTCTGTGGGGAAGTGGAAGATACAGTTGGGGGATAAATACTTGATTACAGAACCTGCAGTTGACACGTGTTTTCTGGTCCTGAAGTTTATTTCCATTTACCTTTCAAATTAAAACGGGGCTTGAAAGTCTGAAGAAACTGCAAACAGGCTGATTTTAGGAAACTTGTACTCCTCACTGGGCCCTGACAACCTTGTTCACTAGGGACTAGATCCTATTCAGAGCCCCATTGACTTAAGCATTTGCATGTATTTTCAGGATTGGGGCCTAACAAACAGTTGCTGCCCTAAAGAACAGATTTCACTTTTATCTGCTGTAGTGACATGGTTGAGAGCTACTGAGAGTCTGCATTTGTGCCAGCTGCTGTGATTTTGGTGGGCTTTATAGGGGCTTGTTTTGTAACATGTCTATGTTTAGATTTCCATATGCACACTGGGCATAGTTCTGTAAAGTGCTGAATACCCTCAGATACCATTAACTTCAGGGGGAGTTGAAAGCATTTGACACTTGGAAGCTCAGGCAGTCCTCCTATACAACTGACTTGTTACTTTGGTTTTAATATCATTCTATTATTTATGGAGAATTGACAGCATGCTTGGGACTGTACAGAACATAAAGGAAGACATTATTCCTGCTCCAAGGAGTTAACAATTTGTGGCCCCAAACCTGCAAAGACTTATGCACATGCTTAACTTTACCCACTGTTCATGTTCACTATTCATAGCGCATAAAGTTAAAAGCACATGTAAAATCTTTGCAGAATCAAGGTCTAAATTTCCCCAATGAATGAAGGATTTGGTGGCATGGGAATTCAGAGAGGCACATTTGAAATATCACAGTTCCATAGCCTCCTACAGTTATGGTGCTAGCTACATTTAGTTACAATAAAAGATCTCTTCCAAAATTGCTATTGATAGTCCTCAGAGACTGGCCTGATAAAAAGAGAACTCTCTCTTTAAGCACCAGCATCACGTGTGGAAACTTCTCTGACAGCCTGGAAGGGGGTGGCCATTTTTATAAAGCAGGAAGTGAGTAGTGTACACTAAAGTGATCATGGCAGATAACTACAGGGACTATAATCTGACAGCGGATCAGCAGGCCATTAAAGCCAAGTACCCGCCCCTCAATAAGAAATATGAGTGTGAGTATTTCTAGCCTTGTCCAGACATAGTCTATGGGGTGCTGGGCATGGGGTGGCGGTGAGGGGGACTCTGGAAAGGTGAGTCTCCTTAATACATGGGTGCTGCATGCTGTTTTCACTTTCAGATTGTGGGTGTGTGCCTGTAGATTAACTGTAGGGGTTGTTTGTGATTCTTAATTTGTTGAATTACTTTGTGCCTTTCTGTGATGTAAATAACTATACAATGACTTATTCATCAAAAGCATCCAGGGAAACACTCCTTCTAAGAAAGAAAAGGAGTACTTGTGGCACCTTAGAGACTAACCAATTTATTTGAGCATGAGCTTTCGTGAGCTGAGCTGTAGCTCACGAAAGCTCATGCTCAAATAAATTGGTTAGTCTCTAAGGTGCCACAAGTACTCCTTTTCTTTTTGCGAATACAGACTAACACGGCTGTTCCTCTGACTCCTTCTAAGCTGTTTCTTGTCTCTAAACAAATGCTTGAGATAATGTATTTTTTCCATCTTCTTTACTACATGTTTTTCTGTTTTGTTTTTGCATTATGTGCTTTAATCTGCTGCTTTAAGACTTTTGCCTGGGCTTTTTTCCCCTTCCCTCCCCAGGAATTCCTTCCTGCCTTGATTTAATAGCTTTAGGTGCTTACAGGAAGCAGCCTGGGTCTAACTGTAGTTTTATTTAGGCTGTGCCTGTTTGAGAGAGTAGTTTGTGTAATTTATTAACATATGTTTCAGGACTTGTTCAGCTCTTAAACCTAGTATAGGCTAATGACAGCAGCATGTTCCACCAGTCAAAAGGGAGCCAATCTTCCTTCTGTAATCGGAGAAGATTTTTATTCTCTGGCTGAAATGAATTAGACTCTATAGCTGTTATTTGTTAGAGATAGTTGGTAGGGAAACTATTTACAAAGCAGGTAAGTGATTATGGAACCAAGAGGGTGGCTTCAGCTGTAATGATCTGTTGTATGTTAGTTATTTTAGACCTAAGTTTAAATCTGTCTCCAACAATTTCACACACCTTTTGTGTTACTGTGAGTTGACTTAAATTCTAGATCCCTAAATTGTGGATGTAGAAAATTTCATATGTGTTTAAAGAATTAATATTACATAATTTAAGATCAATTTTATATTGTGGGTTCCTCGTTTTGTAATCCTTCTTAATGGTTTAAAAGTCAATGCCACATATTAGGGTGTTGGCCGCTTAAAAGCTATAAATGAACAGAAAAGGCTTGTGCAGTAGGCCTGCAGAATACGGACACATGACACTTCTCAGCCTTGAGGGAAAAGAAGAAACTGTCACAGACATCTAGTCATCATCACTTGTTTGCTGTGTTGATGCAGTAAACACCTTTAATATCTCATAAGAGCTGTCAGAAATCTGTTTTAGCTAGAGATAGGAGGTATAGACTGTATTCATCTTTGCTTTGAAATTTGGTTCTATAACTTATATGTTGTTTGACAATGCAACAACACTGATACACCAATTCTAGGTTTCCCCTAATGATTTTAATAACTAATGTTTTCACTCAAGCGCTAGCTCACTTACTTTTGTCCCTTAACTTTGCTCTCAATTAGATTTTTGTTACTTAGGGTCATCGTACTCTTTATTTGTTAAGTGCACTGTCCTCTCTTAAAACCGTTATTGACACACACATCCCAAAACCTAGCTGTAAAAAGCCTTTTAAGAAAGAGAGAGGTTTTGCTTAAAATTGTCTTTCATAATCTTAAGGGGGAATCAGGATTTGGAGCATACCGCACTAGCAATAATAAAATGGAGAAACTGTGCCATCTTGGGCGTGATCACGCTAACACTAGGCGTAAGTCAATAAGACTACTAAAGGTAGTAAGAATTATTGGTCAGATTTTCAAGAGTGCTCTTCACTCAGCAGCTGTCTGAGAGCTGACGGGCAGTATTTGTAGGATCGGGCCTAATGTCTGCATCTTGCACTGTAAGTGCGCAGAGCACGACTTGTTAGCCCTTTCACTGGACTACTCTGTACGTGACTCTGTACAAAGAGATCTGTCTGCAATGGATTGTACAGTCCATGTATACACTTGTTTTGGATCAGTTAGTGGCTGATGACCAGTATTTTGACTGTTCATGTATCTGCTTTAACTGCACAGGTTTGGAAATTTATTTTTTAATGACACTTTTAAATGTAAACCTAATGCCTTACAAAGTGCAGCTATACTAGGGAGCCGCCATGTAATTGAAGGCATTTAGGCCTGATCCTCTGAGTTACTGGTGTCAGTGGGAATCAAGTGCTCAAGTGTTGGGGAAGAGTCTGCATGGTTTTTTTGGTTTTTTTTTTGTAAAGAGAAATCATGCCTCACCAATACACTAGAATTCTTGAAGGAGTCAACAAGCATGTGGACAAGGGGGATACAGCGTACTTAGATTTTTCAGAAAGCCTTTGACAAGGTGCCTCACCAAAGGCTTTTAAGCAAAGTAAGCTGTCATGGGATAAGAGGGAAGGTTCTCTCATGGATTGGTAACTGGTTAAAAGATAGGAAACAAAGGGTAGGAATAACTCATCAGTTTTCAGAATGGAGAGAGGTAAATAGTGGTGTTCCCCAGGAGCTGCTACTGGGACCAGTCCTATTCAACATATTCATAAATTATCTGGAAAAACGGGTAAACAGTGAGGTGGCAAAATTTGCAGATGATACAAAAATTACTCAAGATAGTTAAGTCCCAAGCAGACTGCGAAGAGCTACAAAAGGATCTCTCAAAATTAGGTGACTGAGCAACAAAATGGAAGATGAAATTCAATGTTGATAAATGCAAAGTAATGCACATTGAAAAACATAATCCCAACTATACATATAAAATATGGGGTCTAAATTAGCTGTTACCACTCAAAGAGATCATGGAGTCATTGTGGATAGTTCTCTGAAAACATCCACTCAGTGCAGCGGCCGTTAAAAAAGCGAATAGAATGTTGGGCATCATTAAGAAAGGGATAGATAATAGGACAGAAAATATCATATTGCCTCTATATAAATCCATGGTACACCCGCATCTCGAATACTGCATGCAGATGTTGTTGGCCCATCTCAAAAAAGATATACTGGAATTGGAAAAGGTTCAGAAAAGGGCAACAAAAATGATTAGGGGGATGGAACAGCTTCCGTATGAGGAGAGATTAATAAGACTGGGACTTTTCAGCTTGGAAAAGAGACAACTAAGGGGGGATATGATTGAGGTCTATAAAATCATGACTGGTGTGGAGAAAGTAAATCAGGAAGTGTTATTTACTCCTTCTCATAAAACAAGAACTAGGAGTCGCCAAATGAAATTAATAAGCAGCAAGTTTAAAACAAACAAAAGGAAGTATTTCTTCACGCAAAGCACAGCCAACGTGTGGAACTCTTTGCTAGAAGATGTTGTGAAGGCCAAGATTATAACAGGGTTCAAAAGAGAACTAGATAAGTTCATGGAGGATAGGTCCATCAGTGGCCATTAGCCAGCATGGGCAGGGATGGTGTCCCTAGATTCTTGTTTGCCAGAAGCTGGGAATGAGCGACAGGGGATGGATCACTTGATGATTACCTATTCTGTTCATTCCCTCTGGGGCACCTGGCTTTGGCCACTGTCGGAAGACAGGATACTGGGCTAGATGGACCTTTGGTCAGACCCAGTATGGCCGTTCTTAAGTTCTCCCCAACTTCTTGTATCCAGTCCTGATCCATCAACATTATGCTTCAAAATTATGGTGTAGAATATTGTTATCAATTACAACACCACACCTTGTTGTATGCAAGCAGCAAAATACATTCTGTACCACCGGCTGCTTTTTTCTTATTCAGCTCAGTCCTCTCTGGGGTATTTTGCCTACAATGGAGGTGGGAGTACACTTTAATTGTAAAATTAACTTGGTTACGTTGTCTGTGCTTGACTTCTGCAAGTGGGAGTCAGAGCACAAGCACAGGGAGGGGCTGAATGTTGATGAGCTGACCCAAAGAGTGGATTAATTGGAGGGGGATAAAAGGTGGAATGGCCTAGAATAGCATTTTAATAAAAAACCCTGATTTTAAAAAACACTGGATACAGTTAGACAACCTGGCTGCATAAAGGAAAGACTGACCTATGCATGGATGTGCTTGTGCTGAGCTGAAGCTGTTAGGAACTTGTAACCACAAAACATTTTGGGGGGGTTTGAAGGACTAACTCCTACCAGAGCCTCTGCTGGAGTAGGGGTGGGAATGGTCTTTGGTAAACTTATTATTGCATGTGTAGAATTGTTTTAATTGTGTTTTTCTCTGTAATGCTTTCACCTTGAATAAAAGTGCTGACCTAGAGTTGTGTAAGAGCATAACTGTAGGCAGTTAAGCTGGCTATAGCTTCTGGAATGAGAGCAAATCACAGACCCTGGTCTATTTAGGCAGTCTGACTTGCCGGTAATAACACCGTGTAGGTAGGGAATTGTGCCATCTGGAAAAACCCCATTCAGGAGAGGGAGAGAGATGCGGGTCTCTCCCCAGGAGAGGTGATGGCTGGGAGCTGGAGGTTTAAGAGTGAGTGCCCTTGGTGGACCACAAAAGGGGAACACTGTTGCAGCTGCCCTGAATTGTACCATGTTATCGGTGGTTTCACTAGAAACAAGTTAGCTTTTTGTGGTTTTTCTTTTAAAAACCTGTTCTGTCGACATGTGTTGATGACACTGAATTAAATCTTTTCAAGTGTCATTGTTAATTAATCAGATTAACACACTAGCTGGAGCTTCAGTGTCAAAACAAGCACAAAAAATTATCTTGTTATTAACAGGACCTGACTTTTTCTTCCATATTATTGCTTATTTTTAAACCACCATGATGATCTCATAACTATTCTTCTTCTACTCCCCCAGATCTGGATCACACAGCTGACGTTCAGTGAGTATTTACAGCTGCAATTTCTACTCCTGGGGGAATTCTATGCCAAAAAATTAAATTCTGTGCCCAATATTTTAAAATTCTGCAAAATTCTGCATATTTTATTTGTCAAAATATCACAGTATAATCACACCAGTTTCAATTATTTTGGTAATTTATTTCAAAATATCTGTCAGCAAGTTTGTCTGTAACCAAAAAAAGATTCTGGTAACTTTTTTTGACAAACAGATTCCTTACTAAGCATATTAGCACAGAACTTTGAGTAATTAATTTAAATTACAATACAGAACTCAGAGTAGTGAGTAGAAGTAGAACTCGATGAAGTGAGCTGTAGCTCACGAAAGCTTATGCTCAAATAATTTGTTAGTTTCTAAGGTGCCACAAGTACTCCTTTTCTTAATACAGAACTGTATTTCCTGCACCAGTCAGAAGCAGTGCAAAGGCTTGGGGGAGTCAGGGGTAATGGAGGAGCTGAGGGAGAGAGAAGGAACCTGAAGTGAACCTGGAGGGTTGTTGGATGTGGCTGGAAGAAGTATGGAACAGTTTGTTTGTTTGTTTGTTTGTTTGGGGGGCGAGGGGCAGGCTGGATTGTAAGGGAGTTTGGACGCCTCCCTCATGCAGACCCTTGCTGACCCAAATCACCTCTCATTCAGTCAGGCACATCTGCCCATCTCCCCACACCTCCCATCCCCATGGGTCTCTGCAGCCTTCTTCCCCATCCTTATGTGTCCCTGCAGCCCTTCTCCCCCAATCCCCATGTGGCCTTGCATCCTAATTCCCATTCAGCTAGAGGGATTTGGCTGGTGCCTTTCCCTGCGTGATTCATGAGTGGCTCTGGGAGCATTCATGCAATCTAGCTGGCTGCGGGGCTCCACATGAGGTTGTGCTGAGTGATCACAGCTCCTAGAGGGGTTTGCTGCTGGTCACTAGCAAGGCATTATGAGACACAGCCCAGGCTGGAGAGTTTAGGGGGCACAGTGGTCCCACGGTCCCAGGCTGCACCCTGGGAAACCCATTACAAACTTATCAAAAGAGAAATAGATAAATATATCCACCCCCCATGCCCTAAAAAGAGAAACCATATTGTTGAAATGAAACAAAGAATATCTAGCATCCCAGCAGTGACGTTGGAATCACTTTTATAGTGAGGGTGCTGAAAGCCATTGAACAAAACTGTAAAACCTGTACATGATAGAAACTACTTCAAGCCAGAGGGTGCTGCTGCACCCCCAGCACCCTTAGTTCCAGCACCCCTGCATCCCAGCATGCTTAGGTATGCATTCCGTAAGCTCAAAGGGGATATATTTGGTCCAATTCTCCTCTCACATCAGTTTACATAGATGCAACCCTGCTGACTTCACAGTTACTCCTGATTTACATCAACTGTGATAGAAGAATTAATCTTAGTGAGGTTACACCCAGAAATTTACTCCTGGGGGAATTCTGCGCCACTGTGCATACACAGAATTTCCCCCCCACACACACAGAAAATTCATTCTGCCCCAGAAGTGCTGCAGTTCCACCTTTTGCCCACCAGAGGCTGCTGTGGCGCTAGAACAGCCAACAGCACCTGAACACAGCTGGCTGTTCTGGCGCCACAGCAGCCTCTGGTGGGCAAAAGGTGGAACTGCAGCACTTCTAGGGCAGAATGTATTTTCTGTGCATGCACAGTGGAGCAGAATTCCCCCAGGAGTAGAAGTTCATCACTGCACCCTGCCTGCAGAGCCAGGTTAGGACAGAGAGTGGGGCACACAGGGCTGCTAGGGGTCACAGACTAGGGTTCAGAATAGCTAGCTGGGGGGACAGACTGGGGCCTGGGCTCAGGAGCTGGTGGGGTGAGAGCATTGAGCCAGGAGCTCCCAGCCTTGGACCTCAGGAATATACCGTCTTGCACTGTTCAAGATGGGCAGCGCAAATTTAGTAACTGGTTCACTACTTCATCAATGGAAAGTGTACATACACCAGTCTTTGCAAAACCTGAGCAGATTTACCACACACGTCAGGCAAATTCACTAGTAAAGATAAACAGTAAAACAAATGTATTGACTACAAAAGATAGATTTTAAGTGATAGGCAAAAAGTCAATTAGTTACCAACAGAAATAAAATATAAACATGCAGTCTAAACTCTCAACCCTATTAGACTGGGCAACAACTAGATTAAGGAGTCTTTCTCACCCCACTGGATATTGCAGTTCAAAGTACACAGATTTCACCCTTGACATCTGGACCAGTCCCCTCAGTTGGAGTCTTCAGAGTGTCCTTGTTGCTTGCAGCATAGGTGGGTGAAGGAGTAAAAGGCCAAGCCTGGGCCCCCTGTGTTGTAGAACAAAAGTCCAGGCATGTCTCAGGGCACTGCTGAGTCTCCAGGCAAGGTTGAGCAATTCCTCTGGTGTGGCCTCATGCAAGTGAGTCATTGAATTGTAGCTCCCTTGCTGGACAAGGGTGGTTGATGGGTTGTTTGACATCCTGCCCGGGTGTTAGTTACTTTCCTTGCTGTTTCCTCTGGCGAGCTATCATCTGGCTAATTCCCCAATTTACAGCATGTTTTAGTGACAGCCATACAACACAATTCTCATAACTTCACATCCATATATGTATATCATTAATGCATAGAGAAATGACTTTCAGCAGATCATAACCTTCCCGCTGATACCTTACAAGGCATGTTTTATATGTAATATCACAATTATATACAGATGAGGAATATGGGGGGTTACAGGGTGCTCCTCCAAGGTACAGAATGTCACAAAGGTATGCCTAGAGTGCTCCTGAAATAAGTCTAAGCTACATGGAGGTGTTTTAATTCTTCAGCTCCTTGTCTCTTCTCTTCAACCTCAGATGTTCATGCTACCTCTTTATTTCCAAGTGATCTATTTCCATGCATGCCAACTGTCCATATTTAGGAAGGACATCACTTCTTTTAGTAAAATATTTTCTACTTTCCCACTCTGTCCCTCCAAAAGGAAGCTCCTTTCCTCTTGCAATATTTCAACAGTGCTTCCCTAATCTTCTTCCCAAATGCCCCTATTCATAGGTAATGGCAGGTCTGCACTTCTCTGCATTCACTTCCTTTCCCAGTTATACTAGCACCCCAATCTTTCATCTGCATCCCCCCACTTTCTTTGTTACTATTATATGATGGAGTAATGCTGCTGTCTGTAGGTTACATGCCTGGGGAGATACCTTGGAAGAGACATTTGAGCAGTGTGCTATGGCCATGTTTGGCTACATGACGGATACAGAGACGGTTGAACCCTTGGATACTATAGAAGTGGAGGCAGAAGGTAAGAAGGCAGTGAGCCTATTGTATGAACTCGTTGAAAGAGAAGTGCATTGAAATAAAAAGGTCAGTACTACATCTAAGGAGCCAATCTCAGTTGGCTGAATCTTCTAGTACTTTGTCATCAGGAAACTGCCCCTTTGATATGGACTGAAAGAATGTTTGGGAAGTTCTTGACCGAGCTCCCAGTTGAGTCTTTCTCTCTCTGCTTCTATCCTGTAGGACATGACCTGCTCTCTCTTCTCTATAACTTCTTGAATGAGTGGCTATATAAATTCAGTGCTGACCAGTTCTTCGTACCCAGGGTAAGTCTCTTCCATCTTACAGGACAGGACTATTCCCTACCAACACCTGCCCTAGGTACAGCAGTATCTGGGGCAGTAAAGGTGGAACCAACAAAACACTTACACCCGCCAACACATCAGGGGGATTGTAGACACAAGGATAGGGAGAGGCAAGGCACATATTCTTAGTTTTGCTGTTGTAAAGGCTAATGAATAGATGCCATTATACCATAATAACTGTTCTGTGTACATCTGAATTCTGAACACCAGTGTGTCTCTGAGGCTGCTCAAACGCTGGCTTTAGGTTCCGATGGTGATGTGAATATTGGCTTTGTATCGAGGCATGTTCACTGGGAGTCTTCATCCGGTGGTATAAATCAATATGAGAAGTCCTCTTAATGGCAACTTTTTACCCTGTTTCTTTTTTCCTTGCAGGAGGTGAAAGTGCTTCACATTGACCGAATGAGGTACAAAATAAGGTCCATTGGGTGAGTAATCAACACCATCTCATTTAAGAGCGAAATTCTGAAAACCAGTGAATAAAGACTAGGAAGGAGTGGGGGGGCCTTGGGCAAGTCCTTCTATCTGTGTCTGTCATGTATATAAAATTTAAGTATCTATCATGCTCTCTCTCATGAGGATTAATCAGCTAATCTTTGTAAAACTGTATAATACTACTTATTATTCTGATATGTTTCAGCCAGTTGCTATCAAAGACTTGGAAGCAGACCGGAAATAAAAATAATCTGAGCCCAGAACTTCAGGGATTTATTTAATACAATACAGGGACTGTAGGCAAATCAACGTCTCTCCGCTTCCTTCTCCCTATTTTGTAGGCCTTCTCTAGACTAGGATTTAAAGGTGTGATGTTAGATTGAGCTAGCTCAATCTAACTAACCTCTTCTAAAATTCTAATTGAGACAAAGCAGTTGTACTTCAGAACATGTTAACCTGATGGAGTTAAACCCTAGACTCCCCTTAAGTTTTATCTTGACCAGTTTAAAGTGTTTGAACTATAGCAGCCTTATTAAGATTAGGATGTTAGCACATGGTTAATTAATACGTTTTCCTGGTATGGGTGTAGCCCTAGTCTAGACAATGCCATAGATGCCCAGTTTCACTCCCACTGGACGACAGCTATAGCATTTACATACATGTTGATGATTCAGTGGATTTTTTGGGGGGGGATTAGCTTTTCAGTGTTGTAGCTGACAGTACACTGTGTGTATTGTACTTGCATGAGGAGACTTGGAAGGACCAGAATAGCTTCAATCCTCCCAATTCTATAGGGGAACTGTTAAGAGTGAATCTCTAATGCATAAGTGAAAGGAAAATGGGCTTTGTTTCTTCTCCTCTCCCTTCAATCTATCTTAAGTCCTTCTCTGGGGCCCTTTATCTTAGTGCCTCACAGGCTATAACTTATTTATCCTCACAAAACCCCTGTGAGGTGTAGAAGTGCTATCATCCCCATTTTACAGATCGGGGAACTGAGACCGTGAGAGGCTAACTGACTTGCCCAAGATCACAGAGGAATTCTGTAGAAGAGCCACACCCCTATTCTTTTATGTCATGGGTTGCTGCCTAACCACTGGCTCATGCTTTCTTTCTTCCACCCACACCTCTCCTAGCAACCCTGGCTTATGGGAGTGACCTTTCCAGCAATTAGTTGGAAAAATTCCCCTCCATGTGGCACAAGGGATGGTGTGCCATTCTCTCCCCTACAGTGGGAGTTGCGCGTTTTAACTACTAGAGAGGGTGTAGTATGTTGTTCCCTGAATTACTTTGCTTTTTTTTTCTTCTGTTAATAGCTTGTAAAATTGCCCAAGAGGCTAGAGCCTGGAACAGGAGGCTTTTTATATATTTAAACAAGCAAGGTACAAATAACTAGTATCTTTGCTGGGATGGCTCAGCTCTCTGAGATAGTAACTATCCTCCACACCACCTCAGTAGTTACGCTATGAGAGAACTACTGAGGAGAGTTAATCTGACCTTTCCACAAAGTGGATTTCCTCTAAGTGACTCACTTGCACTGGTGATTCCAGCAATGATAGTTGTTGAATTAAACCAAAGTTTCAACAATCTCCTCACACTTATCTGTGGGTTTGTTTTTTGTTTGTTCCCTAAGGTGGGGGGAAGAGTTCTCTTTACCCAAACACCCTCAGGTATGTAACAATTGCTCTGTGTCTTACGGTTTCATGGGTATGACAAAGGCTTTTCTCCTAAATTATTAAGAGAGCCAGTTACAAACTTTTCTGCGTAATTAGATGCCAGTATTGCCTCTGATACCAAAGCTCTTGCTCACTAACTGCCATTTGTGAATGCAGCAATTAGCACTCCTGAAACTGAGTGTCTGGGTGATTACTCATGAGCTAGCAGCAATGAGAAGTCCGTTGTCTAGCTGAGCCAATGAAATACAAACCAATCCAAAGTCAGGGTGCTTACACTGGCATGATAGTTATTAGGTTGCTCTGTTGTAAATTCTCTAGAGATTCAGTAATAAACTAATCTAATCCTTCCTGATTTCCCTCCCACATCACCCAAACTGTGTTCTGTTGTGGCTAGTTGATGGGAGTTGGTGCTGTGCAGAAAGTAACTTTGTTCTGCTACTTTCCCATCACCTAGATCAGTTACTACATGGTGATGTCCCAACCTTTACACTCCTAACAAGTGCAGCACAGCTGTGCTTCTGGGGAAGGATTTTTTTTTTTTAAACTAAGCGGTTTTCAAACTTTTTAGGCTCTTGAGTAGCAGCCATGTTAGTCTGTATTCGCAAAAAGAAAAGGAGTACTTGTGGCACCTTAGCATCCGATGAATTGAACTGTAGCTCACGAAAGCTTATGCTCAAATAAATTGGTTAGTCTCTAAGGTGCCACAAGTACTCCTTTTCCTTTTTAGGCTCTGTACCCCTTTCGAAATAATATAGCTTACTGCATGCCCCTATCTGACATAGGTGGGGGAGGATGTGTGGGATCATGTGCCCCTCCCCAATTTCTGCCTTCCATTTAGCAACAGCTTCTGGAGGCTTTCACAGAGGTCAGGCAGGGGGTGGAGGTGGCACTCCCTCCCTTAGCTGCCTGGCGTCGCTGGCCCAAGCCACCTTGTGTCCCCGCTCATCCCCAAATGTTCTTCCACACACCCCTAGGGGGCACCCCGCCACAGTTGGAAAATCTCTGTACTAAATAAAATGCGTTGTCTGCCACTACAGGATTTTTCTTATGTACCCCCTAACGAGAGCTCACATACTCCTAGGGGTACATATACCCCAGTTTGAAAACTACTGTAAACTGAATAGCATTCCCAGGAAGCCAGTAAATATTCATGTATTGCTGTGATTCATACAGAGCCACTGCTGGGGCTCATGGTTTACAAACTCTAATTTCCTGTGCCCATTCCCTCTAGGGTACTGAGGTCAAGGCAATAACTTATTCAGCAATGCAGATCTATGAAGAAGAGACTCCAGAAGTGTTTGTGATCATCGATATCTAAAACAAGAAGAAAACTGCTGAAAGGAGTGAATACTTGTCATTGCTGGCAAAGGTCCCACACGAACTCTGTCATCCGTCTGGAAATAATGGAACAATTGGCTATAAATGTATTGTAATACTTAGACCCAGTAAGATGCTCCATCAGCTGGGAGGAGGAATCACAGGGAATAGCCACCTATGATTTTACTCTGAGGATGGTGAACCAGGCTGGGAACTGCATATCCAGAAAGGAGAGCTAAGTTTCTCTGGTGAAAAGAAAGGGATTTGTAGGGAGTCTCTCAGTAGCACTGATACTTTTATATCGATTTTTAAAGGCCAGCATTGGTACTGGGTTCCTTTTGAATGTAGGTGGGGAAATCAAAAGGGGGTTATTTTTATTAGCCAAAAATATATTTTATTGAGTGAGCAGGAGAAGACTAGAGTGTCATAGATCTGAACACTTTGCCTTCTTTTAGAGAAACTACCTCTCCTCTGTTTTGCACTGTTTTGATATAGATTTTAATTTGCTCATTCCAAAGTGGCATCTCTGTTTCACTTTATTTAAAGCTTCCGAGGGCATGTCTACACAGCAAACTAAAACCCATGGCTGGGCCATGCCAACCGACTTGGGCTCAGGCTGTGGGGCTGTTCCATTGCTGTGTAGGCTTTCAGGCTGGGGCCCAGGCTCTGGGACCCTCCTACCTCACAGGGTCCCAGAGCCTGGGCCCCAGCCCAAGCTTGGAAGTCTACACAGCAGTGAAACGACCCCACACCCAGAGCCCTGCAAGCCTGAGTCGGCTGGCATGGGTAAGCCACAAGTCTCTAGTTGGTGTGTAGACATACCTTGAGATCTCTGCTGCTAGTCTGGCCTAATGAAAGGATTTACCATGATAAAAGTCCATCTTGACCTGTTTGTGTTAAAGTGAAAAGATGCCACTAGGTGGTACTGGATCTCCTCCATAGAACACTGGTAAACTCCTACTGTAATGAAGCATGTGTCCATGTGAGTGTAGTACAGTACTAATGTTTCCTCTTGCCCTTCCCACAAGCAGAGGCTGCATTCACCATTTCTGGGGTAGAAGGGAGTCTACCAGGATTTGCATGTCCCAGAACAATTAGATCTTGGCATATGAAGGGCACTTCTCTCCTGTTCCCGTGATGGCAGTCAATAAACTGGCTACTTCTTTCTTAAGACCGTAGAAACGGTACATAGCATTCCTCCATTGTAGGACAATGCATTGTCATGCAGGAGGCAAACTCTGACTGAACACCTTTCCTACAGAGAAGTGTGTGTAAACTTCACCGTTCTTCATTGTGCTATACAGTTCTGAGACCTTGCATGTAAACAGTGCGGAAAGTTCCTATGTCTTTCTTTAAATGCTAATGTATATTTTGGGTTGGCCTTTACTAGCAAGGGATGGTTGTGGGTGTGTTAGTGGGGAGGAGAAAGAGAATAATTACAGCAAGTGGAGTTTTTTGTGGGGCAGGAGTGAGTAAATTATATTTTCAGCAGCTCTAAGGCACCTTCATACTGCCAGGGGCAAACTAGAATTGGGACCCGTATCTTTCACAGTAGTGTACAAGTTAACTGTGTGAGTAACGGTTCTTTGCTGTTTGAACATTATTGCATATAGGATCCATGCAGGACAATTGTCATCTTTTTGAAATGACCACTTACTAGCTCTCCTTTTATTATCAGCATAGGAAGTGGGATGTTTGAAAGAGGGTAGGAGCAAATCACCAACAGGTATCAGTAACATCTTATCTGCAGTTGTCTCTGTTTGGCTCAGTATAGCATGTCAGAACTAGGGTGACCAGACAACAAGTGTGAAAAATTGGGATGGGGGTTGGGGGTAATAGTTGCCTATATAAGACAAAGCCCCAAATATCAGGACTGTCCCTATAAAACTGGGACATCATCACGCTAACGAACCCCACTGCCCACTACCTCAAAAAAGAAGAGTCTATTGTACTATAACTAGGAAAGGTTAATACTGTGTTTAGTACCCTTCCCTTCTTCCATTGTATTTTGAGAAAATAATTACAAAGTGTAGAAAGGGCTGCCCACTTCAAGCAGCTTTCTTTTTTAAAATGTTTTACTTAAGACCACCTTTAAAGGGAGGAACGGGTTTTCTTACAATCATGTTACTGTGCACATGGCCATTTAAAAATCTCTTCAATTTAGTTGCATGTATAGTGTGAAATAAAGTTGACTTAATTGTGCAGGTGTTTATAACCATCTACGGAGAGCAGCATCTCCTGGAGGTGAGAGAGAGTGGTGGGGTTAGTTTTGTAGGTGAAGCAGGGCAAATACCGTCACCACTTTCCTTCCCTCTCCTTCCAGTTGACCCTCTGCAACTCTGTTACACATGGGCAATGACATATTGGCTAAACTGCCCCTCCCTCAGGCTGTTGCAAGATGTACAGTTGTGTTGGCTGCCTGCTGCTGCCCTGCACCCCAGAGCTGGCTGCATTGGGGTGATGTCCCGTTTGCCTGTTGGAGTGAGGATGTGTGTGTGTGCGAGCCTGAGAACTAGTTGAGCTGATGCGAGTGGGGTGGGTGTGTAATACGGTGTACAATATGAGGTGGGGGAACCAGCCTGGGTCATGAGGGAAGCCGGCCCTCAGCAGGACATGGCTGGGCCAACGCTGGCTAGTGGGGTGGAGCCAGAGAGCAGAGGGTTGATAGCATAAGAGTGGAACCAAAAGACGTCGCCTCTCTGAGGGCCGGGGGCTCCCTCCCACCCAGGCCAGCCCCTGTCCCTCACTCGAGGCAACTCCTCACCCCATTGGGCAAAAACAGTCTGCCGATTTGTTCAGCCAATAGCAGCGTGGAGTTGATGCGGGGCTGGCGGGAAGCTCTGCAGAGCTTTTACTCCACAGAGCTGTTTGAGCACTGGGTCAGGTCCCACCCACTCAAAGCAGCTAATCAGGAAGGACTTCTATTGGACCATGTGGCTGTCAATCAGTCATCTTAATTGACCTATCACAGGGGAGGGGGAAGGAAGACAAGATAGTTAGCCCAACTTCCCAGGGGCTGTCAGGTGGCTGTATTCAGCCAATGGTGCGTCGGTCGGGTTCGGTTCCCGTTGGTGCCTGAAGGAGTTTCAGGTGGGGCTGGATGTGGCATGTCGGGTCGATTTTTGGCATGGGGCAGGGGGGTAGCACGGTCCCCAGTGTGAGGAAAGCTAAAGGGGCAGCAGCAGTGGAAGCGTGAGCGGAAGGCCCTGTAGGGGAGGTTGGGGCCCATCCTGAGGGGATAGAGGGGGCAGGGTGGCAAGGGCTAGCCCGTGATGGGGCTAGAGGTAAGAATGGGGGAGGTGGGGTGAGGCCAGTGGTGCTGGAGCAATTTTTAGAGTGTGTGGTGGGTGGGTGGGTGGGGGGGGTGTGCTGAAAGCCATTGAACAAAACTAAACCCTTGTCTGATGGAAATCAAAGCCAGGGGGTGCAGCCTCACCTATAGGTGCTGGAATTAGAGGTACTATCTCTGTATGACAGTATTTGAGGGGGGGGCCTCCTGCCCCTGTAACTAGACGGTGGCCAGAGCCCCTGTGAAGGGTGGTGGGCTAAGCAGAGGGCAGGAGGGAGGGCTGTTGCTGTAAGAAGGGCAGGGTGTCCTAAGAGGAGGCTGGGATATTTCTCCTGCAATAAAAGGCACTACCTGTGAGAGGCAGGGAGTGGGTGGTGCTTGAGCTCAAATCATGAGCGGGGGAGGGGGGGGATGTTCTCTGTGGAGAAAATGTGAAATGTTAGATATTAATTTATTTTTCTAAACATGGGAAATGGTGGGCATTCAGTGGAACCATCTGAAAAAGTCAGGAGAGACTTGAAATTGGTGCCTCTTGGAATCATTCAGCTGGGCCCTGAATGAGCGAACTGGCACTTCCTGGCATCTGTATGGGCCCACCTCACTGCCAAAGTTGAAATGGATTTCCTGTGCAATGCTCTGCTTGCAAATATGAAAATGAAGGCTCTCTCTCACCACCATATGGGCACCCTCCGCAAAGGTCTTTTTCACTGTATTTTGGTTCCTGACCAAAATCTCTGGAGAGTGAAAGCCTCAGTCTGTAAAAATAAATGCACCACAGCCAATAGCAGTACAAGCTTCTTCCACAAGCCGGGATGGTCGCTTAGGCCTATTCCACGGGGACCTTCTCAAGGAATGGGGAAGGTAGTTCAGCTTCTGTTCCCATGCAGTGTTTAGACTGCTGAAACTATCAACATGGTTGCCAATTCTGATCTTTTCCTATGACGTACACATTTTCACCAACAACTGGACTGAGCCCCCTTCCTCAATAAACTCCAAAGATCTGTCGGATTTTTGGTCATACTCAGCCGGTTCTGGCTTTGAAAAAATCTATACTCTGAAAACATGTTATATTTTAAAATATTTAAATGCAATAACTTTTATTTTTTGGGAGGGGTGGAAAGTGCTGACCTCACAGGTGCATATGTAGCTCCCCTGCAGATGAAGAAGGGCTTGTGTTTGTGGGTGAAATTTGACATTTGTTATATCTTTAATATTAAAGGACAGTCTTTTTTCCACTTATATTTCACTCATGCCATATTTATTATAGTACATTTGAAAGGAATTCAAATATATATACAATATAGCAATAATTTAAATTTAAAAAAATCTTTTGTCAAAGTGTATTTATCTGTAAAGAATTGAAAACTATGAAAATTCACTATTTTAAAATAAAAGTAGTTGATTTTATTAATGACAAATGACTACACCAATGTAAATATATATCTAACAAAATGAAACCTCTCCAGTCTGGTAGTTAAAAATAAATGTGAGTAAACTTTTAAAAAATAGTTTTAGATGCAAAAGGAATACTCTATTTTTAAAAAATAAAAGTTTCCTGCTCAGATTAAACATAAATAGGTGTCTCACTTTTTTATTTTGGGGCATACTCTTAATTGTATTTCATATTTATTTTTAAATATATGCATTACCTTTTGGGAAGGCTGAATCTTTGAAAAGAGCATCGTTCATGCATTTACAGATAGTGTAGGTTTGTTAGATTTCAGCTTGTGCAGAATGCTTCTGTCTACTTTCTCACACATTAAAACAAGTGTAACCCCATACTCATCACAGATACTATTAGATCCTCATCTGTTTCAGTGCATAGTGGAAAAAATGTCCTCTGTGGCCCAACTCATCCATGAAGTAACTCCATCTACTCACTTCAATAGAATTACCCCATTGACTAATTTGGATCCTGATTTCAAAGCCTTCTATTGATTAACTGTGAACAACCTCACATGCTTTCTCTCTCTCTCTCTCTCCCCTTTATTCACTTATCTTAGCACTGGTCTCCTCTGCCCCTCCATAAAATCTAGCCACTTTGGTATTTGATAATATAGTTTTTTAAAAAGATGTATGCATGTGGTCTATATTGGTCTATGCATTGGAAGCACAGGAGCAGCTGAACAACGGATAAAAAATTTGCTATTGTAGGTAAGAACCACATTTGCAGCTCCTTGAGTTTAGAACAGCCTTATGTATCTTTTCACCTCAACTTCAGCTATTTTTAAGTCTCTGCTGGAAGTATATCTCCATAATTGATACCTGTTAAAATTAAAAGTTAATTTTTCCCCTTTTCTATGTAACTTTCATTTAACTGTAAAAGTGTTTTGAGAGTATGTAAAAGATACTATATGAAAATATTATTGTAATAATGCAAAAAAATGCTTTGCTTTTAGGAGAGTGACACTTGCTGGGTAAAACTTTGGAAGGTAAGAAACAAACCAATTTATATTTTAAATAGTCATTTAAAATATATAGGCCTTAATGAATGGAGAATGGACATGCCAAAAACAGGTTCAAATTCTACTTGCACTCCTTGTATTCTAAGGGCTTGTCTATACTACAGGTTATGGCGGTATAACTTATGTTGCTCAGGAGCATGAATAGGCCTCCTCACCTCGAGTGGTGTCAGTGGGGACAGCGCTATGTTGGTGGGAGCAGCTCTCTCCCATTGGCATAGAGTGTCTTCACCAGAGGCGCAGCTGCAGCACTTCTAGTGTGGACTAGCACTTGGACTGTCTGAAGGCCTGTTCAGCCCCTGTTGAAATTTAGCCATATCATGTCTACTTTCAGCCTCCAGCTGCAATAGATATGCCCCGTAGGGGCAATTCAGCACCTGATGATAACCACAGCACAAGCATGCTCTGGCCACACTCCATCTCTGTCCTGACATTTCCTACACTGGGGGCTATAAGGAAATAGTGGCATAGAACTGTCCCGGGGCCGGCAGGGTGTAATTCTCTAAAGGCCATTTCTGCCAGGTTTGCTGTCACTTTAGGTCACTGGAGCAGTGTGAAGGGGGCTGGGATACAGCTGAGAATCAGGCCCATTGTTGATACTTAGTCTATAGCCTCCTATTTCAAAGCTTGTTCAAGAACCTTTTGTTTACCTTTAACTCATGAAAGTCATTGTTCTCCTGCAAAAAGAAAAGGAGTACTTGTGGCACCTTAGAGACTAACCAATTTATTTGAGCATAAGCTTTTGTGAGCTACAGCTCACTTCATCGGATGCAGTTATGTTGGGAGAAAAGAGAAAACTAGGAAGTGGGTATGGGAGAGAGCTATGGCTTCTCTTCATATGGCTGACATTCCCGCTCATGAGCTCCCCCCATTCTGCACTGCTAATGTTTCTTTTTTGCATTTCCCTTTTGAAGTGTTGTAGCACTTAGCACTAAGAATTTAGTGTTTCTAGGATCTAAAGGTTTTGCTGAGTCCACATAATTGAGCATTCTACAAAGATGGTTCTTAAGGATTAAAAAGACATCCAGGAACAGGGAAAGTTGCCTTTTACATAGCTCAGCAATGTAGATTCGGGGCTCAATTCTCTACTGCCATTTGCCTTGTGTAGTCAAATCAAATTCTTGAAGTATGATCTGTATTTAAGTTTAGAAAATTTTAAAATTTAAATTGTATTTTAAATTTTATGTTTTAGCCCTCAGTCTCACTTGTAACTTTACTTAATGTACTATGGTTTTTGCTTTGAGTGCCCAATGGCCTTTGGACATCTTATAGACTGAAAACAAAGACTTCAAATATGCATGAAAGGATTTATGTCACAAGTCCAACTGAAAGTAGGACTTGTGTTCCTAAATTGTAGGTGCCTGAAAATCTCCCCTATAGTGCCTAACCAATCCCCTCTGGCAGTTTAATGCAAGTCCTGAACACTTTTTTTTGTTTAAAAAAAAACAAAC